GTTTAAGCTACCTGGGCATCAGAGTCACCTGCTACGAGTACTATGTCTGAGCGTTTAGCTTTCTAAAGAAGTTCAGACAGCTTTCTGTAAAATTCATCTTTCACTTCATCCAGACTGCAGTCAGTGGGAGCGTATGCAGAAACGACGAAAAGGCAACGATGTATGCCCCTATCCTTCCGAGTTCTTATGGAGCCGTTTAGCCGAACAGCACATAAACAACTGTTGACGGGGATCCACTTTAACAGTGCTTGTTCCGCCCTCATGCTTAGTGCTATATCCACATCTGCCAGTTCACGAGAACTGGCCGTCGGGTCACCAGATACACGGAGGGTGTATCTCGTTGGCTCTCCGTTTTGCCGGGGTGAGGTCAAGTGAATGACCACACTGGAATCCTGTATGCATGTTTCAGAGGCACAGCATACATCAGTGACACGAGATTCTAGGTTTTTAGCCAGGGAAGCCTACTGACCGATTTGACATAGAGTGCGTACGTTGAAGGCTCCAATGTGTAGTTTGGAGCGAAGTTTCAGTAGACCTGGGACAGTATTTTGCGCACTAGAGTCGTTGGCTATGGTGACACTTGAGTTGATAGTTGAAGTAGAGGGAATAATAGACATTGTGGGAGGAAATTTTTTAAGAATACAGTGATCTTGAGTACTTTTTTGTGGTTAATTTTTGTTTTAGCTTCGTACTTGTTGAGACCTTACCGCTGGAGACCGAAACTCATGGGGTCCACCCTTTCTAACCCCACCACTCTTTGTGGGAAGGCAGCATCGCTGTTATGCTGGCTGGCTGAAGGAAACACCTTACTGACAGTCAGCAGTACGGCTTCGCCCTCAGACCTTGGGTTTGCTGCTTTTTGTCTTACCGTCATTTGACCGACCTGTCAGGCATGGTAGGACATTGAGGAACGAATGTTTTAGACAGTATAGCTCGATTGCTTCATTGCGATAGGCAAGCCCGACTACCACGTCAAGGTATAAGCAATGGTCGGCGACCATAACACGTTGAAAACACTGGTTCTTGTCCGTTAAATTCAATGGTACTTAAGTATTTATTCACTGTATGAATCTATCCAGCCATCAATATTTGTCTTGAGAAATCACAACGGACGTATTAAATGTTGGTTTGGTACAAAACGAAGTCTCACGTTAGGTATAATTTCTCGTATAGGCTTCAATGACACTGCCAAATGAGCGTTTCCAGTAAGATTAAACTCAGCTCATTTTCAGTGGTTTCTAAGCATTTGCATGGTAGTAATTTAATTACCGTAAATGAATAAATAGTGCCTCTCAGTAACTGTATATATTTGTGTCCGACTATAAAAAGCATATATTGTATGAATGTTGTTACTGATACTTAACTGCCTAAAATTTGACTGGATAAGCAAAACGTAAACTAATGACCCACAGGTTGTTAACTAGGTCCCTAAATAAAACTTCACTAATCGAGACTGTTCAGTTTAAGTATGCTAGGTACTTTGAAACGATCGTCTCAGTTCCTGTACATATTTAGTGACTGCTCGGTCTTTTAGTATATTGTAAATTTAATATAGCAATCAGGCTCAGATTTTCTGTTCCCAGCTCTGTATTTCATGTTTTGCCGTGGTCCATTGATACTCTTAGGGTACCTAAACTAAAATAGACAAAACAGCGTTGAAATCTACTACCTGATTCTGGAAGATAAACTACATTATTAATTAGGTTTTTGATAGCCTTGAGATTTGTTCGTCTGGAAAATTCACTACTCTTCATTTTGTTTTCGTAATATATCGAGTCAGTTTTATGGAGCCTGGGTATCTGGCTCATAACTATTTATTTTATACCCTTACAAAATCAATGCTTCCATTATGTTAGACTTTATTACCGTTTTACACCGTATAATTTTAATCAAATATAAAGACTAAGATTTTTGCTACTGTTTGTCTCCTGATAGTTCTTTATGATTTTAATTCCTACGTCAGTGAAAAATCGTAACCGAATGTTATTCGAATTGCATACTATTGAAAGTTTTGATTCCCACACTTCAACATCATTGATCTCATAATTTCAATTAAGTCAGTCATAAGCAGCATACGACCTAGTACATTGGTTGAAGTTTTCACACTATGTTAGCACACCGAGATAAAACTATCAGAACACATGCCAGAATAATTGAAGTAGTAATATTGACTCAGCTACACGTCTAATCAGTTCAGACGGCAGATATCAAGTGGCAGTGTTCAATTTTATTATGCTAGATTATGAGAAATTTATTATATGAATGCTAATTAGAATTACTGTGTTAACAGGATAGGGTCCTGATGATTTCACGCTCAGTCTTGGGTCCCTAAATGCCCTGGTACGGTTGAGGGTGGGGTGAGTTAGCACTCCCTCTCGACATACTCCCAGATAGTCACGTGTATACAGCCACTGACAAGGAAGTCCTGCTCATTGCCTTCTCGACAAGGGGGTGTTGTTAACGAAATTGAGAGAACGAAAAGCGAATGCCCGGCGCTCTAACCGGGTTAGTGAACACGGAGAATCCAAGTAGAGGAATTGGAAAATCCTAATTTTAAACCAATGGTGCACATGGGCTCCAGTATCCTGAAGGGACAAATGGCGTATGAACCACTCGTTGGTCACCGATTACCATGAGACTGCATCTCCTAACGTTGCTCCACTACCTTGTGAATCAGACCTTTAAGTCAATGGTTCCGAGTGTGGCCTCCTAAGAAAATTACCTGGTTCGGTCTGGGCACCTGGACAGTATCCCAGCCGACACACAAATCAAGTGACTTGTGTGGAGTATATCTACTTGGTGCCTCCTTGTACTAATGTTTATGTGTTTAAATAAATAATAAATAAACAAACCAATGACCCACTTATTTACATTCATGTCCCTAAACTAATCTTTTCTCATTACTTGAGACTGTTTAATGTAAATGTGCTAGTTATTTCAAGATGGTTATTTATCTTAATTAATATACATGTTTGATAATTGTAAATTGAAAAGGAAATCTTTGCTTATCACTGTTTTTTTAAAAAAAATAATAGGATGATTGTTAATGGATCTTTCATTTCAACGTTTAATGGATAATCAAAATATACTGAATACTGAATCATCCATGACAAACAAGTTAAATATCTCACATATGTCATCACTTCCATCAATACGTAAGTACTAGATTAATATTTATTATCTTCAGGTATTTATTCTGTTTATTCTTTATGTTCAAAAAACTTATCAATCATGTTTACTAGAATGTTATAGACTAGTTGGGCTACTGTGGCAGCTTATTTACTTGATCCTTAAGTTTATTGAACCATAGTCTTCAATTTGTTTCAGGGGAAAATAAATAAATAATAATAATAATGAAAACATAATTGACAGATTGGAGCATGAGGAAGATCTCATGTTTGTTCATTAATTATTAGGGTGAGACTACAATTTATGAATGAATCAATCAGATATAATATAACAGGTATCCGGTTTTGGTGTGAAATTTATGCATCTTTTTGTCTAAATAGAGTTTTGGCATTATAACTGATGTCAGTTTGTAATGAAAACCTAAAATCTATTTCCTAACCTTAACCATCAACTGTAAATCATAATTCTAATTCCTCATACATTGGTTTATAATCTTCATTTAGTCTTAGTTATTATGTGGACACTCAAGTTCACTCTAGCATTACTCAAAGGTCGTCTATAAATTATAGTCTCACCGTTATTGTAGTTAAAATGTGATGTCATATTTTTATTCACTTGTCAGCAGCCCCTAAATGCCCTGGTACGGTTGAGGGTGGGGAGAGTCCGCTCTCTCTCTCTCGAAATGCTCTCACATGGTCACGCGTATATGGCCTCTGCGAGGGAAGTCCTACTCACTGCTTTCTCGTGGCAGGGGTGTTGTTTACGAAATTGAGAGAATGAAAAGCGAATGTTCGGTGCTCTAACCCGGTTAGTGGACACTAAGAATCCACGTTGAGTAATTGAAAAACCCTGTTTTTAAACCAATGGTGCACATGAGCTCCAGTATCCTGAAGGAGCAAATGGCGTATGAACCAATTATTGGTCACCGGTTACCATGTGACTGCATCTCCTTACGATGCTCCACTGCCTTGTGGATCAGACCTTTAGATGGAAGGCCCTGGGTTTGACCCTCTAAGAAAACCACCTGCATTGGTTTGGGCACCCTTGCAGTATCACAGCCTTCACACAAATCGAATGGGATTTTTGTGGCGCACATGTATTTGGTGCCTTCTTTACCAATATCAATATGTTCAAATAATAATAATAATAATAATAATAATAATAATAATAATAATAATAATAATAATAATAATAATAACAATAATGATAATAATAATAGTCAGCAGACCAATACATAGTATTTTGAAGAATTAGTAGTAGATAAAACACAATTATTATTTCTTTTTTGAAATCATACTTAGTGTATTATTCTACTGCACACCAGATCATATTCTTTGGTTTAAAGTAGATAGTGAGCAATTTTCATGGAATATATTAGGTGAATGAATATTTAATAATTTTATTTATTTATTTATTTAAACACATAAACATTGGTACAAGGAGGCACCAAGTAGATATACTCCACACAAGTCACTTGATTTGTGTGTCGGCTGGGATACTGTCCAGGTGCCCAGACCGAACCAGGTAATTTTCTTAGGAGGCCACAGTCGGAACCATTGACTTAAAGGTCTGATCCACAAGGTAGTGGAGCAACGTTAGGAGATGCAGTCTCATGGTAACCGGTGACCAATAATTGGTTCATACGCTATTTGTTCCTTCAGTATACTGGAGCCCATGTGCACCACTGATGCGGAATCAGGGTTTACCAACTCCCTTAGATGGATCCTCTGTGTTTACCAACCCAGTTAAGGTGCCCGACAGTCGTTTTTCGTCCTCAATTTCGTAAGCAACAGTAATGCTGCGAGGAGGTAGTGAGTAGGACTTCCTTGGTAGTGGTTATATGTACGTGGCCACTTGAGAGCATTTCAAGAGGGAGAGGTGACTCTCCCCACTGTCAGCTGTACCAGGGAGCATACTCAATAATCTTTGTCTTCCATTTACTTATGTTAATATTTAGATTGCTGGTTCATCCTGCTGTGTTGTTTAGTTGTATAAGTGTACACATTGAAAGCAGTTGTTAAATTTTTTCCCATAAAGTCTTCATTTTTGTTTCAGTGTTTCAAATGAAATTCCTGAAAAAGGTGCTACTGAGGTATTTGCTGAATAATCATAATAATAATAATAATAATAATAATAATAATAATAATAATAATAATACTGTATTTTTGATTGAGATCATGAACCGACTAATTTTAGACCACCATTAAAAACCTGGAACCACTTGACAGCCGTTTCGTGTTATTGTGGGACTCTTCAGCAGTGTGTATCCACGATTCCGCCTGCGGGATTCGAACCTGAGTCTTTTCATCTCTCACGCAAACGCCCAACTTCGAGACCACTGTTCAAGCATCCAACTATGCTAATGTCTAACCTCAACCAATCCACGGTTCATGATCTCAATCAAAAACATAATAATTTCCACAACTCCATACTGATAACAATAATAATGTATATGATTTACCATGAAAGAATTAAGCCCAATAACGAGTTCTTCAGTCAGTCATCTACGTCGTAGTACCAGGCACATATGTACCATAACACATTAGCACAACTAGTTCTTACTTTCCGTACCCGTATCTTCCATTGTCTTATGTTTTAACTGACTTGTTTATTTTAATACTTGGTATGTTATTGAGCAGTTATCAGTTGGCTACATAATATCATTCATTGGTCATCAGTATTCTATTCTTTCATTCGCTCATTCATCCATTAATTCTTCAGAAAAATAACCATATATTACAACTTGGTTACTAATTATAATTCCATGTAATCGATTGGCGACTAAGTTATACGATTCGGTTACAAAATTCAAAGTATACATAGAGCTGAGTTAAATGGTCTATTGAATAGTGTATTATTCACTTCATAATTTCTTCCCATAAACTTTTCTAAAAAAGCTGTTTTGTTTTTCCACCTCCATGCAATCCAACTGAAAAAAATTTATTCATTTCACTCTAAATTTCAGCTGAAGTATCATCACCACCATCGTCGGGGAAACGTCGCTCTATATTGTATGCTATTTCTAGATTGAAACAAATGAAAATGGTAAATATCCAAGTATCATTTTTAATTTTAATAGTTGAGATCATGAGTTAATTGAAGCTAAACCACCATGGAAAACCTGGAAGCACTGGACGGTTGTTTCGTCCTAGTATGGGACTCCTCAGCAGTATGCATCCACGATCCCGCCTCGCGAGATCCGAACCCAAGACCTATCGATTTCGCGCGCAAACGCTTAACCACTAGACCACTGAGCTAGTCGGTATCCAACTTCAACCAATCAACGAAACTGAGCGACACATCCACCATTGTCATCATTGAGTTATTATCTCACAACGGACCCGGTGAACCACTGACTGTTTATTAACTTGGATAACATTTTTGAGTCATTTATTCCTTAGTTTAAGACCGCTCGATAATTTTTGTCCAGTACTTGTTGAACTGTGAAAGACAAAATTCTTTCTTTTGATGCCAATGTAACAATAGCATAAGAATGTTTAAGATGTCTTTTTTGCTTTCTGTAAGTATTTGTCCAGATTGATCTATGTATGTCTACAAGTTGACAGTAGGGTGAGAAGTATTTGTACTAACTAACATCAGTATTGTTATTCAATCTTCTTAGTTGAGCGGGTGATAAAATTTCAACATACGTGAAAAAAAGCCGTTTAATGTTTGTTTGCCTTCATGAGCAGTCGTGCATCCTAAATATCTTCCTGCCAACCATTGGGCTAGAATACATCTGTTCATTTCACCCTTCTTTAAGTTGCGAATGAAAGATTAGGGTAATATTAATTAAAAATCAGTCTATATGCTCCATGTATTTACTGTTTATCTTCCGCTTTGCTTTGAAAGTTGTCATTTATAAAAGCATTGTGCTTACGTAAACGTGTTTCGTGTTTGAACTAGTTAGACCTAAGCCTAGCTTATGAGGCTATCAGAGACGTGTCATTTTTAATCCTATCGATAACTTGTATGTGTTTCTGTATAATTAAATTTCTTGAATGTGCTCTTCTAAATATGAACGTCTTTGTACGAATATCCGCTTACCTACTGACATTTCAACTGCTTAGATTTCGGATTACTGTTACTCATTCACTTACATATACATTCGCCCATTCATGAATTAATTCTCTCGTTTCGCTGGCTACTGTTTAGGATGTTCATTCGGTTCGCTTATAATATATCAATCTTAAGTAAAACTTTGTTTTGGACTATCGAAGTAATGGTGGTTATGTCGATTTTCTACGATTTCTATAACAGTAATGACTCAGAGGAACTCTATTAAATGCTGAAAATATATATATGTGGTTCTTTAAAACCCTCTATTGTTTGGTTATTTCAATAATGACACAATTCTAGAGTTATACTAAAAAATCATCTGCCACATAATATGAACTTATTAATGTCGCTTTTTACTGATACCCAGAATTTATATTTGCGTAGTTTTATTTCTGTATTTATTTATTTAAAAACATAAACATTGGTACAAGGAGGCACCAAATACATATGCGTCACACAAGCCACTTGATTTATGTGTGAGCTGTGATACTACCCCGGGTGCTCAAACCAATGCAGGTGGTTTTCTTAAGGGACCACACCCGGAGGCTTCGATCTAAAGGTCTAATCCACTAGGCAGTGGAGCGACGTAAGGAGATGGAGTCTCATAGTAGCTGGCGGCCAACAATTGTTTCATACGCCATTTGTTCCTTCAGAATACTGGAGCCCATGTGCACCATTGATTTAGTATCAGAGTTTTCCAAATCGCCTAGGTGGACTCTCTGTGTCCGTGTTTAGTCTATGATTTCACAACCTATAGTAGTTAAATTGGTAATCTTTAAACTTTCATTTATAATCCAAAACATTTACCTTAAAAATTGGTTTGATTTAGATAAAAATGTATATATTTAAGTGTTTCATTAATACTTATATTTCACTAGGCTCGACAAGAAATGCATCTTGAATCCAATGTTTCTTGTGATAATATTGATATTACACCTCCCTTAGCAAATACACAATCAGGTAAGTAATCAATGTTGTTGTTGCTTTGTTTTTTTAAAAAAAAATGCAAATATTAGACTATTTGTTACTGTATGACATTGTTATTTAATCATTTAAAACTTCGGTTTTATTGATTCGTGTAATGGAGTGAAATGTTATTCGTAGCCAGGATTATAAACTATCTATCAGTGTTCGAAGGTTCATCTTTGAACGATAACATTTTGAATATCTAGTGGTATTTTCTCGAGGCAATAGAATACCCCATGGTAATAAATGCTAACAAGTTTAAAATTTATAGTTGAGGGAGTTTTGTGGTTTGGCTTTAAAAAGCTTACTCTAAGTTTATTTATCTATTTAAACACATAAACATTAGTACAATGAGTCACCAAATAGATATACTCCACATAAATCATTCGATTTATATGAGGGTTGGGATACTGCCCGGGTGCCCAAACCGAAGCAGGTGGTTTTCTTAGGGGCCCACTCCCCGAGCCTTCGACCTGAAGGTTTGATCCACAAGGCAGTAGAGCATCATAAGGAGATGCAGTCCCATGGAAGCCGGTGACCAATAATCGGTCCATACGCCATTTGTCTCCTTAGGATACTGGAGCCCATGTGCACCATTGGTTTGGAATCCGGTTAAAGCGCCGAACATTCGCTTTTCTTCCTCTCAATTTCGTAAACAACACCCCTGGTAGGAGAAGGCAGTGAGTAGGACTTTCCTGACAGAGACTATATACGCGTGACCATGTGAGAGCATTTCTAGAGGGAGACCGGACTCTCCCCACTCTTGGCCGTACCGTCGAAGCGAGTACCGTCCAGGAACTATATAAGCTAACTAGAGAAATTCGATCATCATTGTATGGGTTGCTGAGCATAAAGCTCATGATTAATAAAGTTATTAATAACCATTTTCCTATTTGGAATATCAATCATGTGTTTGTAAATTATATAATAATCTTTTTCGAATTTAATAAGGGTTCAGTGGTTTAAGGAAGTGAAGACGGAGGTTGATTATGAATACAGTGGTCTTGAGTGCTGTTAGAGGTATGAGGGCGGTTATCACTTCGCGGTTGCCCACACCGTGGAAGGGTTCTTCTGGAGGAACCTGTAAAGGAAATTGGATTAGAGGTGGTCTTAGTGACCTGGGAGCGTGACCGCAGAGCCCAAGGGACAACTGCTTGAGGTCGGTCACACACGACCATTTTATGGGTAATTTTTGTGTTAGGTCCGTACTTGTTGAGACCTTACCGCTGGAGACGGATATCCGTGGGATAAGGCGAGGTGTGCATTTTTAGGGTCGACTTTTTCTAACCTCACCCCTTCTTGTGGGAAGGCAGCATCGCTGTCATGCTGGTTGTCTGAAGGAAGCACCTTACTGCTGTCACACCTGTGTACATTCAGCAGTACGACTTCGCCCTCAGACCTTGGGTTTGTTACTTTTAGTCTTACCGCTCCTCAACCGACCTGTCTGACATGGTAGGACCTTGAGAAACGGTTGTTCCAGCCATTATAGCTCTATTGGTTCATCACGATTGGCAAGCACAACCACCACGTCAAGGCAGCAACTACTTTTATGAATCCGGTGTCCATCTTGTTGTGTTAATGAGGTATGGCAACTTGGACCGATGCATATATGTGCCTGGTCCTACGTTGTAGTTGACTGACTGACTCAGTGGTTTAAGGGGTTAGTACTCAATATTTATTCTTTTTTTCTTACGAATTTAAACCATGTTGTGCATATGTTGAATCTATTCTCATTGGACTACTACCTTAACAACTGTAAATGTCTGTGTAACAATGGTTAACTCAATGACAAATACCAATAATGTTTGCTTTCTTTCGGTTCAGTGGTAGTTGTAGCAGTTTCCAACTGCCCTGGTACGGCCGAGAGTGGGGAGGGTCAGCTCTCCCTCTCGAAATGCTCTCACATGGCCACGCGTATATAGCTTCTGAGAGGGAAATCCTACTCGTAGCGGGAGTGTTGTTTACAAAATTAAAAGGACGAAAAGCGAATATCCGGAGCTCTAACCGGTTTAGTAGACACGAAGAATCCACCTAGAGGAGTTGAAAAACCCTGATTCCAAATCAATGGGGCACATGGGTTCCAGGATCTTGAAGGAACAAATGGGGTATGAACCAATTATTGGTCACCGTCTACCATGTGACTGCATCTCCTTACGATGCTCCAATGCCTTGTGGATCAGACCTTTAGGTCGGGGGCTCTGGATGTGACCCTACAAGAAAACCACCTGCATTGTTTTGGGAACCCGAGCAGTATCACAACCCTCACATAAATCAAGTGACTAGTGTGGCGCATATGTATTTGTTACCCCTTTGTACCAATATTTATGTGTTCAAATAAATAAATAAATAGGTACTGTTTAATCCAACTCTCAGTAAATCTCCATTTAGAATGCTTGTGCTAAATATAGTTCAAATAATTAGGAAAGGTGGAATTATTATTATTTGTTTATTTAAACACGTTAACATTGGTACCAGAAGTCACCAAATAGATATGCCCCACATAAATCAAATGATTTATGTGGGGGCTGAAATACTGCTGAGATGCCCAAATCGAAGCAGATGGTTTTCTTAGGGGGCTCACACTCTAAGCCATGGCATGTTTTAAAAAGCTGTTCTACTGTGATTCATTATATCTATATACTTTCATTATGTATTAACTTGTATTAACCTAATTGTTGGTGAATTATATATTTGTCATTCAGTTATATATTGTAAGTGACAGATTTCCATTTAAATTATGGTTTTCTAACTATAATGTATCATTTTCACACAGTAGATTCATAAGATTTTATACTATAAGATGATGGAATTATACCAATAAAAGAGATTTATTGTCCTCGTTTTCTAATTGTCTGTTGTAGTAAAGAGGATAGAAGATTATCAGGATCGATAGATTTAATATTTATCACTAAGGTTCATTATGGTTCATTTACATACTCGTCTTTTATGATTATTTTAAGGTTAAAATGTTAAAATCAGTTTGCTATGCTTTTTTATTCAATCAAATATAAAGAGAAAAGATTTAAAAATTGTTGTTAATTCAATAAGGTAATCGTTGAATTCACAAGTTAGTTGAAGCTAGATCACTATGGAAAACTTGGAAGCATTGGACGGTTGTTTCATTCTAATATGGAAATCCTCGGCAATTCGCATCCATGATCCCGCCTCATGGGATTCGAACCCAGGCCGATGGTGCAATTTCGTTGATTGGTTGTAGTTGGGTATTAAGACCATTGGATTCTGGCTAGCTGAATGGTCTAGAGGTTAAGCGTTCGGATGCGAGATCGATAGATCCTGGTTCGAATTTCACGAGGCGTGATCGTGGATGCACACTTCTGAGGAGTTTTATACTAGGACGAAACGGTCGTTCAGTGATTCTAGGTTTTTCATATTGGTCTAGCTTCAATTCATTCATGAATTCAATTATAAAATGGCTAAAATCTCCACAAAACCGCTTCTGATAACAATCATCGTATGCCCACTAGTGATTGGTTTAAAGAGGTATTTCCTGAAGTTCTAGTGAGAAGCAGTGACCAGTGGAGTTTCAACCGGGTCTGATGTGAGATGGTAACTCACTGATGACAATGGTGGATGTGTCGCTCAATTTCGTTGATTGGTTGAAGTTGTACATTAACACCATTGGATATGGGCTAGCTCAGTGGTCTAGTGGTTGAGCGTCCGCACACGAGATCGATAGGTCCTGCGTTCGGATGCATACTGCTGAGGAGTCCCATACCAGGACGAAACAACCGTCCAGTGCTTCCAGGTTTTCCATGGTGGTTTAGCTTCAATTAACTCATGATCTCAACTATCAGATTAAATAATTATCTTTAATATAATTGTAATCTAATAAAGTAATGATATTTGCATTTTTAATCATGTTTTTCCAAAGAATTATCTATTTTCTTTTCTTTTAGGTAACACCAGTGATAACAATACAGTAGAATTGGATCACACTAACAATTCAACTCAATTAATAACAGTCATTAATAATGACTTATCAAAACAATCAATTCATATTGATTTCAATTCTGATATTTGTTCTTATACTTCTTTATCATCACAATCAAATCCTTTACAATCATATAATTTATTATCTGATAATAATACTACTAATATTACTGATAGTAGTACTATTCGTCAGATATTGTCACCAAAAGAATCTTCTTCACTTTTAAATATTACATCTACTACTACTACTACTACTACTACTACTACTACTACTACTACTACTACTACTACTAATAATAATAATAATAATAATAATAATAATAATAACAATATAATACATCATGATGCTAATATTGATTCTATTCGAGTTTGGAATAATTCATCAAAAATATTTACACAATGTCTATCAGATAGTGAATCCGATGAATATATAGACTTAGATACTGTTGATGATATAACATGGTCTATAAAGGATAATAATAAAAATAAGAAGAATAATATAAAGAATAAGAAAAAAAAGAAGGAATCAATAATTATGAATGATCATCCTTCTGAATTAACAATAATAATAAATAATAATAATCCTACCATAAAACAGATCCCTCAATTATCGAATAATGAAAGTATACGGAATGATTCTATACAGTTAAATGAATCTATCTCTTCGCATGAAACTAGTTCATTACATAGCAATATCATTAATAGTAATAATAATAATAATAATAATAATAATAATAGTAAAATTATGGAATCAGATGATTATTGTTGGATATGTCATAAACCTGGTGAAGTGAGTATTTCTCTATAATAGTTATTTGTTTTGTTTATATGATTGATAGATAACTTAGTAATTAAAATACTTAATTGAAGCTAGATCATGAAAAATCTGGAAGTATTGGATGAATATTTCATCTTAGTATGGGAATATATAGTAGTGTGGATTTATGATCCCGGTTTACGAGATAATGAATCCAAGATCTATCAGTTTCGAGCGCAACCGCTTAACATCTAGACCATTGAGCTAGAGTGGCATTTAATGGTGTTAATGTCTAACTTCAATTAATTCACGAAGTTGTGCCACCATCTGGGAAATTCACTTATTGACATAGTTTTATTTAGTGAAGACGCTGACAAAATACAGTCTTCTGACCACGCTAAGCAACAATGCAAGCATGTTTGGGATACGATTCTCCCTCTCGAAATGTAAAATGTTGTTTCAGGATTGGGTTGCATCGACACCCGAACTAATGATAGGGAGTGAAGTAGTGGAGCGTGTCGATCGCTTTACTTATCTTGGAAGTCTCACCAGCCTTTATGGTTTAGTGTGTGACGAAATCGTAACATGGATACAGAAGGCTCGACTAGTTTGTGCCAACTTGCGTCATTTATGGCGTAGGCGAGATATCCGTCTATCAACCAAAGGACGTGTTTACTGCTCAGCAGTTCGTTCCGTCCTACTTTATGGCAGTGAAACATGACCGGTAAGAGTAGAGGATATTCGTAGGTTACTAGTATTCTATCACAGGTGTCTTCTGAGCATTGCTTGTATATCCTGGTATCACCGAGTAAGTAATGCAGTTGTTAGGAATCGGGTACTAGGTACGGATGGCAAATCAATTGATGACGTAGTGAAACTTCCTCAGTTGAGATGGCTTGGACATGTTGTCATGACTTGTGACCGCCGATTAGGAAGCGGTGACTTATCGATCGGACCAGGGACGCGTAAAACACGTGCGAACAGCCTAGAGTGCTGATTAATTCTCCTTCCTGCGTAGCCCAGCCAGTTAAGTCCAGAACACCAACCCAAGCCTCTGCGATATGAATAATTATATTTCAAAAATACTGAGTTTATATACCAATCAAACAAACCACAACGTACCAATAAAATACGAAACAACATTTGTACAAGAATTAACCAGATGTGGCTGTGAATGAAGGATGTAGTGACTAATAGACAGGGAATAATTCAAGAATGGAAAATCGTATAATAACAGTTCATAGGTTAAAATACAGCTTATGATAAGAGAGATATGAATATGAATAGTTTAATTACATAGCAAAATATACATATAGTATTGGTCCACAAATGGATCCGAAACATTACCATTCATTATTCTTGTCGGGACATAACACATGTGTTACGTATGACTAACCACCGACTGCCTCGACCTGTGGTGTTTTATGGTGTAGGAGTAGGTTGGAAGAGAGCTAGGGGTTGCCAGACCAAAACGTGGCACAAATCCATTGAGTCATTGACAAGTGGACTGATCCATATTGATAGGTGTAAACTACCTGATTGGGATCCGCGAGATGATAGCAACCGATGGTTAGAGACGTTGAATGACACATGGCTCAAAATCGTTTGCGATGGCTCAGGTACATCTAGTCTTTGTGTTCTCCCAAATTCTAATCTTCTGAATTCTTCATGTTCCCTTTTTTTCTCTTTCGAAATTTTTTTACTGGATTATACTCCTTGAATAATATCTTCAAAGCTAAATCTTTCCGATTACTGCTTATACTTTTACTCCCTATATCACTATGGGATTTGAATCGACAACTGCATCTTTATGCTTATGTAGTACGGCAACTTGAACTGATGTACATACGTACGTATGTACGAAGTTCTACGTTGTTACTGAGTGACTGACTGACTGTCCACCATTGTCATCAGTGAGTTACTATTATTATTATTTATTATTATTATTTTATTTGAACACATAAATATTGGTACAAGAGAGCGCCAATATATATGCGCCACACAAAACAATGGGAATTCGAAGAGAAGTAGAAAGAAAGAAAAAAAAAACTAAGGAACGCAAAAGAAAAAGAGAGTAATGACGAAGAGGTACAATCAGAAGAAATCTTTCAAGTAAAGGAGACACAACCACTTTTTATGAAGAAAGTAAAAGAAGGTTACAGCAGGATCGCCACTGGCTTCTATTCTGAGCCATATCTGATAACGTCTCTAGCCACTGTGTTGCACCATCTCTCGGACCCCAACCAGGGAGTCGTGAAGGACCAACACAAGCCAGTCCTTTGCAGCTTTCTTTCATGCCACGACACCATGTCATGCACTGACCACCTCTCCGCTTCTTCCAACCAGTCCCAGAGTCGGCAAATAATGCACGACGTGGAATTCTCTGGGACGACATTCGGAGAACATGTCCAAGCCACCGAAGTCGGTGTTTCAAGATGGTGACACCAATTGAGTTATCATCTCTGTGCCCGAACACACGATGCCGAACCTCTGCATTACTGACATGGTGTTGCCACTGAATGTCAGCAATCCTTCGGAGACAGCGATGATCGAACACAGAGAGTCGTCTAACGTCCTCAACTCGGAGAGGCCAGGTTACACAAGCATAGAGCAAAACTGCTCTCACCGACGCGTTGTAGATCCGGCCTTTTACAGCCAGACTAACATCACGAAGGCGCCAAAGGTGGCCCAGATTGGCATAAGCCGCTCTGGCTTTCACTATTCGTGGATTGATCTCATCACTCACACCCCCACCAGCACTTATGATGCTACCCAGATACACGAACTTCTCAACTACGTCTATCTGCTCACCATCCAGGGTGAGTACAGGATTAGAATCCTGCCAGTCTTGTAGAAGTACTTTGCACTTCGAAGGTGCAAAGCACATACCATACCTACGGACATTGATTGCCAACTGATTAAGTGCGGATTGCATGCCTTGGGCATTATCGCACAGTAAGACAATATCGTCCGCATACTCAAGGTCGAGAAGTCTTTCTCCAGGCAACAGATCCACACCACCATTACTTACATTCATCAGAGCTGTTTCCAGAATGTCATCGATGGCAAAGTTGAAGAGGAATGGTGAGATTGGGCAACCCTGCCTAACCCCACTGCTCGAATGGAACAATGGAGAGAGGTGGTTGTATGCCCTCACTCTGCCTGAGGTGTTTTTATACAGGGCTTTTAGGATGTTAATAAACTTCTCAGGCACACCCTTCTTCAATAGACAATCCCAGAGAACAGTCCTATCCAACGAATCGAAGGCAGCCCTGATGTCAAGAAACACTACGATTGTTGGCCTTTGAAAAGTATGGCGGTGTTCTAACATTTGGCGGAGGGTGAAGATATGATCAATACATCCTCGACCAGAACGAAACCCAGCCTGCTCCTCGCGAGTCAATCTTTCTCGGGTTTTGAACAACCTACGAAGAATGACGGAAGCCAATAGCTTGGACGCAATCGGAAGTAAACTTATCCCCCGATAGTTGTTACAAGAACGACGTGAACCCTTTTTAAAGATAGGGACAACTATCGACTCATTCCATGACGTTGGTACACTCTCTAGATCCCAAACCTTTGTAAACAACGTCGTCAATTCCTTAGTCAAAAAGTCACCACCATCTTTAAAAAGTGCCGGAGGTAAGTCATCTGGGCCAGGTGATTTGTAACGCTTCAAGAGTTGGAGTTCCTTGCGGACTTCCTCCTCATTTGGTGGATCAGTCGTCACCGGCCATGGAGGGCAGGACAGTCTGACCGATGTTGCCGGAGCAGCAGGCCAGTTGAACTGCCCTTCGAAAAATTCTGCCCATCGTCCAAGACGTCGATGGATGTTAGTGATTGGCATCCCATCATCCTCGCAGATTGTTTCACTCACACCAGATTTCTTGCTGCCAGTGGCTCGGATGAGTTGGAAGAGCTTCCGGTAGTTACCAGATGCAGCTGCTGCTTCCAGCTCATTAGCACGCATCGACCACCAGGCTTCTCGGTCCTTACGCAAGCTTTGCCCGATTTCCTTACGTAAAAACCTTCGTTTATGGTCAAACTCACGGTTACCCGGAGTAGACCGACGGGCTTCAATGAGTTGTAAGGAACCAGAAGAAACCCAGTGCTTAAAAGCGGGACGTTTCGCAAACCCACAACTGACTGTTCCCGCCATTTTCATGGCGTCATGCAATTGCAACCAATGCTCATCTATACTTTTCGGTGGAGTGGTAGCTAGCCTAGAGGCTAGCTCGGTTCGATACTTACTTGCAACAGAAGTTGCAACCAGCTTGCTAACATCAATCCGTTGATGGCGTTCACTTCGTTGTCCACTGAAAAGTAAGGCAAGATTGGCGCAGACCAAGGCATGGTCAGAGTCCAGATAGGTACTCCAAAAGGAGCGGCAGTCTTGTACACAACCACGCCAGCGGTAGCTGATCGCGATGTGATCAATCTGAGTCCAGGCTTGAGATGCAGAGGGAGGACGCCAGGTGGCACATCGGCGATGACTGTGCCGAAAGTTAGTGCTAGCCAGAAACAGGTTGTGGTTTGTGCACAGTTGCAGTAGACGGTCCCCGTTATCTGACCTGCGACCAACGAGTCCCCATCGGCCACCTAAACGACTCTCTTCTGTGCCTAGACGCCCGACCTGAGCATTCAAGAGTGGAATTCCGACTGTATCTAAACGTTCTCGAGTCACTGTCCGGTTGAAAATTGTATGTTACCACCGAATACGAGGACTGAAGCAGATTTTCTGAAACCACGTGCATCATTCAAGTGAGTTACTATCTCACAACTGACCCAGTTGAACTCCACTAGTCACAACTTCTCACTAGAACTCATGAATTCAACTAATAAATTACTATAATATCCACAAAATCTCTTATTATAAAACATTCAACTTTTAAAGTACTAAACGTCAGTTTTAAACGGCATTAAACAGTTTGATTTTTCGGCAGTCAAGTACCAGCATCACTAACCATTACACACTGAATATATGTCTTAAAGCCTACTATATGTAAATAGTCGTAATTCTAATCATAAAAAAGTGAAACCAAATTAGGTTAAACGAAATTTTAATATTTAACCAATTGTTTGAATGCTTTAATTATGAAGTCATCATCTGTCTTTTCTGTAACGAAGTATCAATTTGTAACGTTTAATGATTTGTTCTTTTTTGGGCTGAAATGAGAAACCGAGCTTCGGACCTGCGATTCATAGTGATTAAAAAATTAAGTCGTTAATTGCGGTTTGACTGCAATCTATACATTTCACAGGGTGGGTATAGTATCTCTAAACAATTGAATTTGGATTTAAGGGTTTACATTTCCATTCAGCTTGTATTTATAAATCCAACTGATATCGTCGTTGAGTTACTGCTGCACACTCACTCTCAACATCGCTTACCTTATCCTTAAACATACGCTACCAACTCACTTCAGCTGACGAACCATTGAATTCTGTTCTTAAATTATTCACAGTATATACTCCTTAAAAACGTCATCTTACTAAAAAATATAACCTTGCTTGATTAACTTCTGTTCGAGTGAAGTCAAAACAATAATTGAGGTAAACTAATATGAATTCACTTTATTTCATGGTTTCTCATCAGTTGCCTACAACCATTGATGTATATGAATGTGTAACATTGAGGCATGACAATGTGGAATAATTGACATTGATGACATAATTAAAATAACAAAGATTATTAATAATACCTGTCTATATTTATTTATTTGAATACATAAATATTGGTACAAGGGGTACCAAATACATATGCGCCACACTAGTCACTTGATTTGTGTGTGGGCTGCGATACTGTCAGGATGCCTACATCGAAGCAGGTGGTTTTCTTAGGGGACCACACCCAGAGCCTTTGACCTACATGTCTAATCCACAATGTAGTAGAGTAACGTAAAGAGATGCAGTCACATGGTAGCCGGTGACCAACGATTGGTTTATACGCCATTTGTTCCTTCAGGATACTGGAGCCCATGTGCATCATTGATTTGGAATCAGGGTTTTTCAACTCCTCTAGGTGGATACTTCGTGTCTACTGAACCGGTTAGAGCTCCGGATATTCGCTTTTCGTCCTTTTAATTTTGTAAACAATAGCCCTGGTAGGAGAAGGCAGTGAGTAGGATTTCCCTCGCTGAAGCTATATACGCGTGGCCATGTGAGAGCATTTCGAGAGGGAGACCGGACTCTCCCCACTCTCGGCCGTACCAGTGCTTTTTGCGGATAAATCTTTGGCCTTTTACCTATCTATATATCTGAGAATAAACAAGTATGAGGTTATTTGGTGATGTGATTCAATAAAAAGAGACATAGAGGGAGGCGAAACAGTGATTAAATGAAGTCCGAGGATACTGTTTTTTAGTGTCTTTTGATAATTTTGAAGAATTGGGAGAATATCAATGATTTATCCGGTATCAGTTAAGTCCTGATCAATTACACTGTTTAGAGCCAATACAACTTTCAGTCTCCAATTCGTTGGAATGTACTCGGTGACGCAAACACTGACTCTTCTCTCAATACTTCCAATGTACATGTTTCAGCACGTACCTGTAAGTTGACAAAAGTCGGCTTGTCGATTTTTGTTTGAGGAAGTATCTCGTTTCATATAAAATGTTCAATTTTACTTTACGATAAACAATCTTCATTTCAGCATTTATTCTATAGTAAACTATTTCAGTAATTTCATCTTTGAATTTTCTGTTTGTTGATTATGACCCACTTTGTTTGAAGTTTTAGATAGTGTGAAATTCCAATAGGATTATATTTTACGTTCCTTATTGTTATTGTTAAACGTTACTTAGTGATTATTCCATATCATAAAGATTTATCCATTATTTCGTTTTTTTTTTCTCTCTCTCTCTCTTTCTCTCTCAAATGCCTCTGATTTACTTAGGTTGTTATATGTAGTTATTGTCCAAGAGTGTTTCATGCAACTTGTTTATGTGCAACAGATTTTCCAGATGTATGGCTTTGTCCTGAATGTCAAGATGTTATGTTAGCTGAATGTTCATTGTATCAATTAGAATCATGGTGTAATATTACCGAAGATCAATTGAAACGAATGTTATTCTTTCTTTTGGATCGATTATCTAGACAATCTTGGGTAGGATTTCTATCCTTTTTTTAACTCTTCTATGTGTGAACGCACTTATTTTATCATTATTTTTTGTAACTTTACTACTTAATTCATGACTAGAACTCGTCTCATTGCATGAAACGTTCAGTTGCATATCTTTTTATAAACTAGATACTTTATTTATTTTGTTTATTTATTTACACCCATAAACATTGGTACAAAGGGGTACCAAATACATATGCACCACACTAGTCACTTGATTTGTGTGTGGGCTGTGATACTGTCAGGTTGCCTAGATCGAAACAGGTGGTTTTCTTAGGGGGCCACACCCGGAGCCTTTAACCTTCATGTCTAATCCACAAGGTAGTAGAGCAGCGTAAAGAGATGCAGTTCCATGGTAACCGGTGACTAACAATTGGTTCATACACCATTTGTTCCTTTAGGATCCTGGAGCCCATGTGCACGATTGGTTTGGAATGAGGGTTTCCGAACTCCCCTAGGTGGATCGTCGTTCTACCTAAATGTCATGTATTCAAATCTAGTCTTATATTTTTTCACTATTTGGGCAATTGGACAATGTACATGAGATTTAATATAGTTTAATCCATAAATTCTCACCATGTTGTCAAGTTCAATTGGTTCGTATCTGTTGTCATGAATGAATGTTACACCCTCTGTTTATCAAAACATGTTTTGGCATTCAAAAGTTATGCATATGTATGATAACTATATGAGTAGTACGGGAATTTATATCGTATATTTGAGCAATATTAAAGTTTGTCAAAAGTTGAGGAACTTATTTAGAATAACTCTTTATCATTTACTGCTGTCATGCTAAGATGTTGTGATGGTAACAAAGTTATTAACTTGGATGATCATTGTTTCAGAAGCTGCTTTCTTTCCACCCTACTAAGGATGGGGTTCAAGCGAATGTACTCAATAAATTGACTTTCCTATCCTGTCACACGAAACTTCCTCTAAAACTAATTATCAGTTGGTGAGTTCACCGACTCGCTTCCTCTGTCATATACTTAAAGATATCGGCAAGTAGTAACAACCTGCCTAACTACAAGGACAATGTTCCATCTTGCTCATCTAATTTTCTCATTTTCATTTGTTCAACTTTATATTATCATATGTTCTTGTAAATACTATCGCTTTTATCTCCTTCTAAGCTCTACTTGTTTTTATTTGATCAACACTTTATCGATTTCCATCAGTATATATATCACCTATACATCGTTCGTGCATATTATTCCATCAATTAGTCATTCATCATCAACATAGGATTTGGCGGTAATATGTATTATTTTAAGTTGTCACACATCACATCCGCATAGTAAGAGAGAAATCTAACAAGTTCAAAAACACAAAACAGAAAATATCTTCAACTGCAATGGAAATCTAAATATCACAGGTATAGACTCAAAGGAACAAATGAGATTGAAGAATGAAAAGTATGGAATGAGATCAAACTCAATGGAACGGTGCCATTGTGACCGAGTTCTCTCTTTTTCATCTAATATCCTTGATCATAAGTTGCAACTGGTTCGAACTTTACATTCTATTAAGTTATGTGAAATAAGAGAGGAATATACTCCTTGGTTATTTAAGATCATATCATTTGATAATGTTATTAGTTTAGCAAATCGTAGTGTGGGTCCAGTTGATCCTCATTGACTGCACTATATATTTTACTTTGAACAAACGTACACGTTTAAACATATGCACTCACTGATGACTATCTTCGAGAGGAGAGTTTCAGAGATAGGCCGCGACAAGAGAAGTTAAACCGTGTTTATGGTGAAGCTATCTGCCGAAGGTAATTGAAGATTGCCACACAGTATCGTACATTGATCACCATTGCTTCCCGGCTCAGTGCACTTGAAGTTAAACGTTCGCGGGCGAGATCGATAGTCATGTGTCTGTGTGGTTGTTGTAAGCGATAGTAGAGATATGTTGTGTGACATGGCTCAAAATCGATTGCGATGGCACTAATACTTTCACTCTTTACCTTCCCTTAGATCTTAAGTTTTAAAATTATCCTATAATTTTTATCCTATGAATTCTTCTTGAATTGTATTATCTGTACCTAATCTTTTCTATTACTGATACTGTGTTCATCCCTACTTCTTTGAGATTCGTCTTGGTAATTTCATCTCATTGTAGTGGCAACTTTAACCAATCCACATATGTACTAATTTAAACGTTGCTTATGTTTAACTGATTGGCATTTATCGGATTCTATATTACTCCGCTTCATGGACCAAAGTGGGTAAAACATTGTTCGAATCTGTTTCCTAGTTGTGCTCAACTAAGCCACCGTTCTTGTCAAATAATATACCCAAACTATAAGAAATAAAATTTGGAAATTCTCAATACGTTGATAAATATTTCATAACTACATTCAAAAAAGTTGGAATGATGGCAGAAGTGGACAGATCAGAACATTTTTCTAGTCATGATTTCATTGGCTATTAGTTTGAGCCATATCTGTAGCTACGGAGTTCCTGAAGTGTAATACTCGTTTTAGACGTTGTATATTAGTACTGCTTACTACTTAAACATGCTTCCCGTCTTGAGACACTTGTCGCCTACCAGAGATCTCCAAGCATCTTTGTCCTCGGCTCTCCTTTCCAGTTATTACCAAGCGCTATTCATTCATTTGGCCTAACTCTTCTTCTTTAGCACTTAGAGTCCCAGGTTAGGGCTTAGCTTGTAGGATAGTTTACTGGTTTCCCCACAGTGTATTCTGTACATCACCACCATTTCCTAATCCCAACTGGCAGCTGGTTTGTTCTCTCCCGGGGTGGGATACTGTTGATGGTCTCTTGTCACTGGGTTTGAAGTACTTTGGGTAGATAATAGTTATCTCTACTGTTCCGGAGATTGTAGTTGTAGTTCTCCGAGTTTCACCTCTGTGCAATAGAACTGTTTGAAAGTTTATTGGGAAAACCCTGACTCTGATGTCGGATGACAGTTCTTTGCAGTTCCATATACTCTTCAATCGTATGAATGCTCTCCTTCTTTTCATCGATCCGTGCCTTCATATCTTCCTTGTTTATAGACAGTTTTGTCCAGGGACGTAAAAGGTTCCACTTCGTTCAAAGCTTCACCATTAAGTGTGATTTAGTTGGTGTACGCATTGTTGTATTTGAGGATCTTACTTCTCTATTGCGTATGTCGAGGTCTACTGCTACTACACTCGACTGTCTTCATCTGCATTTGTTGGTGTGTATGCGATAGGAGAGTAAGGTTTTGTGTGAAGTGCAAATCGTTTAATGACATCCAAACTGTCTTCTGCATTCTGTGCTTCCCTTAATATATGGAGGTCTACATGATCCAACCAATCACCAAAAGAATGAAGAGAGGTTAGTATAGACAGTCTCATTAGCATTAGTCCTCATTCGTAATGCATCGATGAGTTATCCTTCATCCACGACTTTGGAGCCAAGTCCCCCATAAGAGTTCCATATAATGGTGATAATCTCAGGTTATCTATAATATCGAAGAAGATTCTACGCGTTGTTTCTATGTTTCCTGTCAAATGCTTTCTCGTAGTCAAGTATGTTGATGTATGATGATGAGTCCCATTGAATTGGGTCCTCAACAATGAATCATAGTATCCCGATATGGTCTATATACTATCGATCCTTACGAAATCCAGCCTACCTACCTGTTCTGCTGTTCTGGAGACTCAGTGATTGATCTGCCTTCTTCATTCTTGACTTATCGCTCTGGTGTACCGCATTCCCCTTATAGTTTCCTCGTTGTATCGTATAGTTGTTTCATACTGACTTTTCTTACGGTATTTTCCACTGTCGTTGTTATGTCTTCGACGTATTTCTACTGGTGGGGTCTAATGCTCCTCCTCACTCCGTTGTTTGCGTCTGTGTATTCGACCCGTGCCCTTACTTCCTCTGCTTTTCTTCAGCTGTTTTTGACAGTTGTTCTTTTGTTCTTCATGTTTTAGCTCTTGGTCAGGGTATCAATTAAGATCCACTCTTTATTCTGGTTGGTCTTCATAGTGGTTTCCTCCTCTTTGAGTAGATCTTGTAAGGCTTGGAATCGGTTACTGAGAGCTATTTTGAATTCGCCGCGTTTTTTATGATCTCGAAATAAGACTGTATTAGACCTTTGAAATGCTGTTTTCCCAGTTATCCAGTGCTTCTTTAGCTTCAATTTTATCCCGGTCAGCATCAAGTGGTGATCTGAAGCTATATCAGCTTTTCTCTTTATTCTCACATCCTTCATGGAAGTTCCTCATTTTTTTCATGCAAATGTGATCGATCTGGTTCTCTTTAGTGTAGCTCGGTGAAACCTATGAGGCTTTATTTATGCGCTTTTGAGGGAAAATGGTGCGAACTTTGACCGTGATGAAAGTCCATAGATTTTCCAGTCTTTCACGATTCTTGTTCTATTTTCCCAGTCCATATCGCCACATGATTCGTTCGTACCATATGCTGTCCATACCGATCTCGACATCCAGGTTCCCCGCCAAGATAACCAGGTCTTTTCTAAAGCATTCCCTCACGATAGTCTGCAGCCTGTTTTACTTTCAGAAGTCAAAGTTACTAGGATATATTCAATGAAACACGTAGATACTTATCCTTCTATCCTTTCATTCTATATTCTTTTGGATAAACATACAAACTGTTGTATCCAATTGATGACATATGTTGAATATTTGTCTTACTTCGTTTATTATATTGAGCCAGGGAAGTCCTGCTCACTGCCTTCTCGCGGCGGGGGTATTGTTTACGAAATTGAGAGGACGAAAAGCGAATGTACGGCGCTTTAACCGGTTTAGTGGCCACGAAGAATCCACCTAGAGGAGTTGGAAAACCATGATTCCAGACCAGTGATGCACATGAACTCCAGTATCCTGAAGGAACAAATAGCGTATGAACCAATCATTGGTCACTGGCTACCATATGACTGCATCTCCTTACGATACTCTACTGCCTTTTGGATCAGACCTTCAGGTCGAAGGCTCTAGATGTGACCCTCTAAGAAAACCACCTGCTTCGGTTTGGACACCCAGACAGTATCACAACCCTCACACAAATAAAATGAGATTTGTTTGGCGAATATGTATTTGGTGCCTCCTTGTACCAATATCTATGTGTTAAAATAAATGAATAAATGATATTGAGGATCATCGTTTGTACACTGAAACCAATTTTACTGCGGTAAATGTGTTAATTAAAGCTGAGTATTTCACAAACATCTTTTTAACGTTAGAATTATTGATAAAATACTCGATAGTTTTATTCAGTTCATGCTTTGTAAGTTTTTAATCCTTCAATTATGTATGGAGTCATCTAGTTATGTTTGATTGTTCTCATTGGTACATTCACAGTTCAATTGTTGATGTTCATTGTCTAGATATTGTGAACTCAATCAGTTAGTCAGTCAGCTACTAGAACAAAACAGAGTTCTCAGACTATTTGTTGAACTTCTAGACTTAATTGATAAAGCAAATCAAGAATCATTTAGTTACTTTTTAACAAAATTGAATAATTGTCATGAATTATGATATCAAGTAAATAAATACCCGAGAATTTGTTGATGATCGATTTATGGATCCATTCTCATTTATTTACTTATTTTAACATATAGATATTGGTGCAAGGAGGCACCAAATACATGTGCGCCATACAAATCTCATTTGATTTGTGTGAGGGTTGTTATACTGCCCGGGTGCCCAAACCAATGCAGGTGGTTTTCTTAGAGGGTCAAACCCAGAGCCTTCGACCTAAAGGTCTGATCCACAAGGCAGTAGAGCATCGTAAGGAGATGCAGTCCCATGGTAGCCGGTGACTAACGATTGGTTCATACACCATTTGTTCCTTCAAGATCCTGGAGCTCGTGTGCACCATTGATTTGGAATGAGGGTTTTCCAACTCCCCTAAGTGGACTCGCCATGTCCACGAACCCGGTTAAAGCGCTGGACATCCGCTTTTCATTCTCTCAATTTCGTAAACAACACCCCGCTATGAGAATGCAGTGAGTAGGACTTCTCTGGCTGAGGCTATATACGCGTGGTCATGTGAGAGCATTTCGAGAGGGAGAGCTGACTCTCCATACTCTCGGCCGTACCAAGGCATTTGGGGGCATTCTCATTTAGAAGTACTTGCCAATATAAATAAAATGATTAGTTTCTAGTCGTTTCATTGACAATTTCAATTTTTGATGAAGTTTGTACTAATGATGTCGTTCAGCAGAACAATGAAAGCTCCACAACTATACTATCCAATCCAAAGAATAAAACTTCATCAAGATATATACGTTATAATAGTCGTATTAAATGAATATATATTTCTGTTACCAAGTGATTAATTATTGATTTTTTTTCATGATGTTTTCATTTAAATTTAGGCACGATATTTTCGTGAACCAGTAGATTCAACAATGGTTAAAAACTATAAAGAATTAATAAAGTATCCAATTGATTTACGTACTTTATATACTGTAAGTTTTGTTTTATCTCTCTCCCCCTCTAAATATCTATGAATATCTATTATACTATTGATAATTCATCGTATGTTTGCTTCATGTTGTACATGTGTAGCAATGCTCCTTCACAAGGAAGTAACAGGCGTAAGTAAGTAAGTAATGTATAGCAATAACTTGATGATTCAATCACAGTTACTTTATAAACTATTGATCAAAGATCTTAACTTATATCTACTTTGTTTGATTTAAGAACCCTGGTAATGCTATATTGTATTTATATAACTGAAACATCGCTCGATTTTGAATGCAGCTTATAAACTATATTGTATTTTACTACTTAATTACTCCTGTTACCCCTCATGGAGGAACATAGACTGCCCAACAATAGCATTCACCATCTTACTCTATCCTCAACAATTCTTTCCAGTTTTTACCAGTTACTATTCATTCTTTTGATGTCTGCTTTCGATTTCCAACGTGATGTGTTCTTTGAGCTTCATCTTTTTCGTTACTTGTCAGGATTCCAAGTTAACGCTTGCTTCGTGATGCCGTTTGATGATTTATTCAGTGTTATGTCCTATCCAATTCTAGTGTGTTTTCTTAATTTTTTCTTCTGTTGGATGTTGGTTTTTTCTTTCTCATAGTAGGCTATTGTTGATGTTATTCGGGCTACGGATATTGAGTATCTTGTGTAGATAAGTGTTTGTAAATGATTGAACCTTTTTGATTATGGTTGTAGTAGTTCTAGAAAATTCAGCTCTGTACAGTAGAACTGTGTTGACGTTCATATTGAAGATTGTGGCTTTGATGTTGGCTTGCAGATAGATATTTTGAATTCCATATATTCTTCAACTGTAGGGATGAGGCTCTTGCTTTGCCAATCATCGCATTTACATCTACAGAGTCCAAATCGTCTGGCTTCATCCAAGCTCCCAATTGTTTTCCTTGCTTTCCCTGAGATGTGGAGGTCGATCGTCGATGGAGTGATATCTATAAGGAGATCTGTGTGTGTTGCTTCGATGTCCGGTGGAGTTAATGAAGGTTGTCTATTCAAGAGTTCTTCAAAGTTTTCTACCCATCTGTTCTTGAATCTCAGTGATTAGCTCATCTTATTTGTCCTTAATCCGTCTCTCTGGTTTACTATAATTCCTTGTCATTTCCTTCGTTGTATCATATAGTTGTTTGATATTTCCTTCTGTTGCAGTTTTTTCGGCTGTCTGTGTTTGTCGTTTTTCCGCTTGCCAGCTCTAATGCTCCTCTTCGCTTGTTTGTTTGCTTCAGTGTATTCAGTTTATGCCTTGTCTTTTTCTGTTTTTGTTCTAGTGTTGTTGATTGCTGTCTTTTTGTTGTTCCTTTGTTGAATGTTGTGCAGTGTTTCGATAGAGATCCATTCTTAATGATGACGATGCTTGTTGAGGTCCAGCACCTCCTGTCATGTTGAAGTTAGCGCTTCTTCAATTGCTTTCCAATTGTCGTCCGTAGTAGTTTGTTCTATTTTGAATAGATTTTGTAGGGTTTGTAACGTGTTGTTGAGAGCTATGTTGAATTGGTTGAGTTTGTGAGTATATCGAAGGAACACTGTATTGAACCTTTGTAATGCTGTTTGTGGAGTTGTCCAGTGTTTCTTTAGCTTCATTTTGATGTTAGCAACCACAAGGTGGTGATATGAAGCTATGCGAGCTCTTCTCCTGGTTGTCACGTGTTCCATTGATGTTGTGTTATTTTTAGTGATGCAAAAGTGGTCGATCTGGTTATGTGTAGTGTGATACGGTCAGGCTCACGTATCTTTGTGTACGCATTTGTGTGTGAATGTTGTGCCTCCTATAACCACTTTGTTGAATGCATATAGATTTGCAAATGTGTCACCATTCTTATTTGTTTCTCGCGGTCATTACATGTCGTCTCATGATATCTTCATGTCAGGTGTTGTCTATTTTTACTTTGGCGTTTATGTCTCCCATCAGGATGGGTCAGGTCGTTTCCTGAACAGTTCTCTGTGATCGATTGCAGTCTGTCATAAAACTAATTTTTATCGTTGTCGTTGCTATCAATTTTATGTACATATCTTTGAATAACACTGATTGTGATTCCATCGTTCAATGTTTTGAAAGATGTTTTGATGATCGTGGGTTAATGAGATTCCCATCGTATAAGTGCTTTCCGGGTTTGTTTGGACAGCGTTAGAATAACTCCTTGAGTGTGTGGAGCATTTTTTCTTTCGTGATCAAAGCAGAGCAGCATCTCTACTGTATCTATGGTTTTCTGGGTTTGCTGACCCCATACCCACCCTCCCTGTTTTACCCGGTATTTGGACCGGCAATAACCAAGGTGGCCTGCTTGAATATCTGGGCTTTTTATTTGTCACGTCATACAATAAAAAAACACAGACTACTATATAATTGTTTAGTAATAAGCATAAAATCGTAAACTTTTCCTATAATTCACATTGGTTGGTTAACTTCACAATCTTATTTCACTTGTTTTTTGTGATCTATCACCAATTTCATTTCATGTCATTGCTCTTGATGGCCATTGATACTTGGGAGTATGTTTCATTTGAAGTTAGAATATCCCTTATCTGTGTCTCTCTTTACTCAATGGCTTGGTCTTTCGATCATATCACGTGTCAGAACGATGATTGAAAAAATGAGTAACACTGGGAACTACTCTGTGGACTAATATTATTGTTATATATGTATATATGTTCTTATTGTATAATTGCTAGGACTGATCAATTACAGTCAATCTATATTGATGACTTTATAAGGCTAATTGTTTTTATTTTATTGTCAACCAATTGTTCAGAGCTTATCCTATTCACAGCCAGTTTTGGCTTGTTTGTTTCCTGTTGTGATTTTCTATATTTTTGGTGTGCTTGCAGTTCAGTGTGTTTGTTTACAAGCCCACGTGTGCTTAAAATAAATGTGCTAGAAGCTGACTGTTGACTTTTCGTCGTATTCAGTGCAGATAGCGAACCAACAGGAGTATAGCTTGCGTCAGTTTAACGTTAATTATTCAGGTCGGAGCGTATGATTATTCGTGTTTATAACAACGCTATACTATAAACGAAATAGTAGACGAGGGATACAAAAATTTATAAATAAAACTCTTGTTGATAGATCAAACACATATCGATTAGCATCATAACAGGAGAAGTGTAGTCTTTCAATATCTATCCAGATGTGTGTATCAGTAACACTATAACACTATGGCCAATATTTTTCATCCAAAGTAGCGTCAAATAGAAAATGACATTTAAAGCTATACGAATCGTTTATCTATTCATTTTTATGCTTAGTTTAATTCTCTATGAATTCATCAAAATTCTGGTATTATTTTATTCAGATTTGTAACTAAGTATTTAATCTTTGTAGTGAAAATAGAACGATCTTACATAATTCACTCCTTTATATAGTTCACTATCTTTAAATGACAAGGTGGAGGTGTAATCCATTGGAATTGAAAGAAATTTATGTTTGTAAATGGAATTGTAAATTGCAATCGCGTTTAACACTTAGTTTTATTCGAAAAAAACGACATTAACACCATCGGATACCGGCCAGCTCAGCGGTCCAGAGGTTAGGCGTTCACACGCGAGGCCGAAGGCCCTAGCTTCGAATCCCTTCGGCGGGATCGTGGATACGCACTTCTAAGGAGTCTCGCAGTAGGACGAAACGGCCGTCCATAGCTTCCAGGTTTTCAATGGTGGTCTGACATGAATCGGTTCATGATCTCAATCAAAAACATAATAATCCTCACAACCCCATACTGAGAACAAAAGGATTGTGCAATTGTATGTTTGATGAATTGTTTATTTGTTGATACAATTAAAAACAATGAGATATAGCTGTCAATGATTGTCTTTAATCAAATGTATATTTTGACCAATAGTTATACCATGAATGAAATAATATTTCTGTATTTTGAAAGAAAATGGGCTAATTAGGGCTGTAGATATTCATTGACTAATTTAGTTGATCAATAATACTGACCGTTGGCTAAGTGTGATTAAGAAAAATAATGTGAAACAGTGATAGATCTGTATGCAAAGATGGATAGTGGCTAGCAGTGAAATCCAGGACAAAGTGCTTTTCGTCCTATTTGGGACTCGTCAGCTGGGTGTACCTGCATCTCAGAGTTGATGTTCATTCTGGTACTCGAACTCGGTAACAATGGGGAAGATTCAAGTAAAACAACACCAAATGAATTTAGTGATATATTTAATTTGTTATTTTATAGAGTTCATAGATTACTCAACTCAATGGTGTGTATTAACTGGTACAGACCTTCTGCATCGAATTAAATCTATCTAACAATCATAATCTATAGAGTTGAAGATATCAAGTTATACATTTAGAATGTTGTTGAAATGTATCTATTCTTAATCTTTTTCTACTAAATTTTATTTATCAATATCATATTTCTTACTTTTCATATAGCTTCTTTAATTCTTCATAAGTTGCTTTTGAATTGTATATTCTTTCTATGTTTGAATTGTTTACTTCCATTGATACTAATATTTTGACTTAATTAATTTGATATCAGAAGGGGTTTTGTGGATATAATAGTAATTCGAATAGTTGAGATTATGAATCAATTGAGGCTAGAACACCATGGGAAATCTGGAACCATTGGACGGGCGTTTCGCCGCAATGTGCATCCACGATCCCGCCCCACGAGATTCAAACCCACGACCTATAAGTCTCGCGTGCGAACGCTTAACCTCTAGACCACTGAGCTAGCCAGCATCCAATAGTGTTAATGTCCAACTTTAGCTAATCCACGAAGTTGCGCCACCTTCCACCATTGTCTTCAATGAGTAACTATCTCACAATAGACCCGGTTGACACTCCACTGGTCACTGCTTCTCACTAGAACTCCAGGAAATACCTGGATGCACACTGCCGAGGATTCTCATACTAGGACAAAACTGCCTTCCAATGCTCCCAGGTTTTCCATGATGGTCTAGCTTCAATTGACTCATTATCTCAACTACTAAAAATACTTATTCAATTGTTAATTTCGATAACTCTCAGTTTAGTGTTCTGGTGTGATTTAATGTGTAATCTTGTCATTCGATACATATTTTGTTTTTGACTACCACAGACTGTGATGTGTTATGCATATTTAGTCTAAAGTGAAGTTTGAGTATTGGATATATACTGAAAGTAGTTATATTCTAATTATTTGTCTCATAACCTAAGGGTTTGTGAACCTATCAATGTATAAAGTAATGATACCGTCAATTAGAGAACAGTGATCTATCGACCGGATCAATATCACATAAAACAAGTACGAGCAGTTTAGAGTCTTTATCGATCCTGCTCCCCACCTAGCCTTGCTTGTTAAGTCCAGAACACCAATTCCAGCTTCCGCTACATGAATCATATATTTGAAACATACTGGGTTTATATACAAACCAAACAGACCACATCCTATTATAAAATTGAAAATAACATTTGTACAAGATCTAACCAAGAAGTGGCTGTGAATGTGTGAGACTGTAATGAATAGACTGGGCACAACTCAAGAATGGTAAATCGTATAATAACAGTCTAAAATTCGAAATAAAGCTTATAATATGAGGAACACGAATATGAATAGTTTAGTTACTTAACAACTATAAAATACAAAATATATGTATAGTTTTGATTGAGATCATGAACAGATTGACGTTAGACCACCATTGAAAACCTGGAAGCACTGGACGGCCGTTTCGTCCTATTGTGGGACTCCTCAGCAGTGCTCATCCACGATCCCGCCTGCGGGATTCGAACCCAGAGCCTTCAGTCTCGCACGCGAACGCTTAACCCACTGAGCCGGCATCCAATGATGTTAATGTCTAACCTCAACCAATCCACGAAATTGCACGACCATCTTCCATTGTGCTGAGGTAGTCACCTATTTCTACCCAACACGGATTAACTCCACTGATCACGGCTTCTCCCAAGAACTCCGAAAATTTTCTCACGAAGCTAGTCACTAGTGAGCACATGGTAATTATCAATATAGTAGTTGTGGACACTGTATATTAGTCCAGAAACAAATCTCAACAGTTACTATACATTATTCTCATTGGGACATAACAATTTGATACATCACAGATATTTTGTTGATAAGATGATTATTCATTAGTGGTAACTTAATCATTAAGTAAAGATTTCACTACAAAGAATAGTAATGTTTTCAATACAGATTATTACATTATCATTTTTAGAGCATTTATGGTTAATATTCTGATACTACTTATTAGTAGAATGAACTGTATCTAAATAATTTTGAAGTTTTGCATAGAAATTGATTATAATGTTAACGATGTAATCGTTTTATAGAAGGGTATATGAAACAAATGCCGTTAGAAATATAAGTTTGTTATCTGTTTTTATTTTGTATGATGAGAAATCTCAACAAACCTGGATGTATTACTGTTCATTAGAATCAGAGAAATGACGATGTTCCATGATTTGATCACAATTTCAATATAAGAACTTTTGTTGAAACTTATAATTTATGAATGACCTTTGAGAGACGCTAAAGTGATTTTGAGAATTTTCACCTAATACTTACTTACTTACTTACGCCTGTTACTCCTCGTGGAGGAGCATAGGCCGCCTTTCAGCATTCTTCATCCAACCCTATCCTGGACAATTTTTTCCAGCTCTTTCCATTTGTTATTCATCCTCTTCATATCTGCTTCTATTTCCCAACGTAATGTGTTCACCTAATAACTAGGACCAAATGAGGGTTATAAACCAGTATAAGGAATCAGAATTATGATTTACAGTTGATGGTTAGTGTTAGGAATTAGATTTAAGCTTTTCATCACAAACTGACAAAAGTTATAATGCTAAAACTCTATTTAGCCAAAAGGATGAATGAATTTCGCGCTAAAATCCAAGACCTGTTATCCTTAATCTGATTGGCTCGTCACCAAATTATAGTTTTACCGGACTTTTTATTCCAGTAGTTCAATGATCACATTGCCAAGCATCAGGTGGTATATTGTCAGATGCTGCTACTTTCCCACTTTTGTTTTGTTTGATGACCACTTTGATTTATTCGATCGTTGGTGGAGTGACAGCTGTAGGGAGGTCTGTATGTACTGCCTCGATATCTGGTGGAGTTAATGGAGCTTGCCTATTCAAGAGTTCTTCAAAGTTTTCTACCCATCTGTTCTTCTGTTCTTGAATCTCAGTGACTAGCTCACCTTATTTGTCCTTGACCGGTCTCTCTGATTTACTATAATTCCCTGTCATTTTCTTCGTTGTGTTATATAGTTGTTTGATATTTCCTTCTGTTGCAGCTTTTTTTGGCTGTCGTAGCTAGGTGTTTGACCCATATCCACCCTCCCTATTTTACCTGGTCTCCAGTTCGTCAGTAACATTAAGAGGGTTATAGGCGGTATGTGTAGTAATTTATCTCTTCATTCGTCTCCATTTTTTTCAATCATTTAAAATTAAAGTTTACATCCTAATACCTCTAATTAAAATTTTGCAATTTTACTTAACTATATTACTTAGAAGTAGTTGTATTTTTTGTGCAAAATCTTTACTACTTAACATTTTATTAACTAGTCATATGCTTGTTTGCTTTTTTGTATTGACTGAACTTTTATACAAGTAATTCATAACCTTGGTGTAAATTTATCTGCATTTGATAACCTACTTGATTTATTCAATCAATATCTCACTTAGATTTGTACTTGTGTTTTTCTGAATTAACATTGTGGTGCGTGCTACTTATATTGACATGAGTAATATATGATGTTAGTCGTAAACAGAAGGTCTGCCAGTTGAGAGGTAAGTGGATCGAACAGTAAAGAATGGAAACAGAATACAATTTGTATGAAAATACAAGAACAATGATGTCTGAGTCATTTTGAGACAATTGATGGATGTTTTGCAAATTAAGTATTTTCTTTATGATAATTAGATTTTATTAACAAAAGTCCTATAATGTTGTGTTAAATACATTCGATTGTTCCCTCCAGTGTTCTTGTTCACTACAACATCACTAGTGATTTGATAACTCTGTGAATCTTCTATTAATCAATATCGAACTGTATTACGTAACACCAACTATCAACTACTTTGACGGTCAATGTTTCTTTCTAAACTAGATTTATTATGTTGTCTTTTCCAGTCATAAATACTTCTATCACTTCAGCGTTTTAGTTATGAATCTTGTTAATTTCATGTAAATGCACTAATATTGTATGAGTGAATGAGTCAATGGTTATTTCTGTTAAATCTTACATTGATTATGACTGATATTGGTTTATCCCCTGTATTTCCGTATTATAGTGTCTTGAACTATCACTGTTTATTGATGAATGATAAGTTTTTTCTGTGAGACTATAATTTATGGACAACCTTTGAGCGACACTATAGTGGCCTTGAGAGTGTCTACCTACTTACTAGGGCTAAATGAGGATTTTAAACCATTTTGAAGAATAAGGATTATGATTTACAGTTGATGGTTGGTTAGGGTTAGGAATTAAATCTAGGGTTTTCATCACGAGCTGACATCAGCTATAATACCAAGACTCTATTTAACCAAATGAGTGAATGAATTTCGCGCCGAAATCTCAGACCTGTTATCGTAAATCTGATTGGTTCGTCCATAATATACAATCTCGCCGTTTTTTTTACTTCCGCATAATAGAAGTGTATATATGCGTATTTCTTTTTTATTTCTTGATGGATCAGCGTGTTAAATCAGGTCAGTACGCTTCACCTCAAGCTTTTCTTGGAGATTTCCGATGGATACTTCATAATTGTATCATATTTAATGGTGGTGAGTGTTTCTTTTGTAACTTCTTTTTCCCAGTGAACAATAGTATGTATATATGAAAATAATGGTTACGATTAAATTCAGTGGTTGTTAGCGGGATTTAGATTCAATTAAAGTATATTCCATACAGAATTGTATTGGAACACTCTGACTGGCTGTTTCTTAACCAATCAACGCTAGCGGATACTTGGCAAAAACTCTAGAATATTATTGTGTAAAAAATTATCAATATACTAATGTTTCTCTTTTGGTGATACTCACTTCAATCCAACCTTTTTTTACTTGGAATATAATTACGTTCCTGTTCAACCGTGTTCTGATATGGAAAGTTGCCGAGTGAATTAGTGCCCAAGACTACTAAGCAATAAGAGTATTTTGGTCGTAATATATGAGTTCATAACAATGGTGAACTAAATATGATCTGCAAGATTATTCAAAACTATATATAAAATGGGTCAAATGCTTATGTAGACTATCTTTAACGTCATAATGATGTTAAACTAGTAGTAAATCATCGAGTATGCAACGCATCTGGTAGCGTAAAATATGGACCACAGGATTTCAAATCAGCGATTCTAAGTATGTCTTGCTTACAGTAAGATATGAAGGTCTTGGCCTTGGTCCGATGTGGTGTTATAATTGCACACTTTTAGAGGGTTCTTTCAATGGCCATTAAGGGTAGAGGATACTCGTAAGCTACTAGTATTTGACCACAGATGCCTTAGAAATATTACTCGCACCTACTGGGATCACCATGTAAGCTATAATGAGGATATACTCAAGGTATTAGAGAATGGTGGCAAATCAGTTGATGAGGTTGCAAATCTTGATCGATTGAGATGGTTCGGTCTCGTGTTACGTATGCTTGAATACCTATTACCTTAACGCGCAATGCACACTAGTGTTGGGGATGGTTGGAAGAAAGTTAGGGGTGGACAAATCAAAATTTTGCGTCAGTTATTGAAGTCATAACACATCAGTAATCCAGTTAGATTGTAGTTGAAAATGGCATTTCGGGATAAATCAATTTTTCGCTAAAAGTGTTCATTTTTCTTCTTTAATTTTAGCCAGTTCTTCTATTACATCATCTGCACGTCTTCTTGATCGTACATTTCATCGTGAGTTTAATTTGATGCGTGCTTGTCCAACATGTTATCTTAATCGTATACCAGCAATTCATTTATTACCATCGACAACTAGAAAACTACCTCCATTAACTGAAAATGAACCTGAATCTTATTTAACTGTAGCTTCAGTACAATCATCATTGTTATTACCAAACGAATCAAATGCGATCATTGAAAATGATAGTATCAGCGTTGTCTATGGTGTTAACGATGAATGCAACAATAATACTCCTACTAATACTACTAGTAATAATAACGAATCCAAAAGTTCGTCATTATCATCATCGGTATCTACATTAGATCCTTGGTGGTTTTGTAAATTATGTGTAAGTATTTATATGTTTGTTTTATTTACTTTGTGATTGAGCCATTAATCTTGGATAAGTATCAAATGTATAATCACCAGGAACACAGCCATTTACATATATATAAGTATATACATGTAGCTATGTGAACTCAGTAGCTAAATAGATAATGATTTAGTATTTAATTTTGAGTCACAGTGTGAAAATTAACACTGAGATTACATTAGATACTTTCAATTGATCAGTTCGTAATAAAAGGGATTGTAAATTCAAAAATTCACTGTTAACTATTATTCAACTTTACTAAAAATTGTACTTAAATGTAATATAGAGACACAAACGCTGAAGATTTCTGGGGGGGTTGACACATCTCAAAAAATGATCACTGTAAGTTAAATACAGTTATTTTACTCTATAAATTCATTCACTTCTTCGAACCCTGTGTTGTTTATATTTAGTTCTGCTCACAGTTATATTCAAAGTACCATTATATAGTTGTATAATATACCCTTGTGAACCAGGGTCATTTTACATTGGTTTTCAGAACCAGACACCATCCAGATTTTCACATGACAACCCAAACAGTACAGCTCAATCCTGTTTACATGGAGAGCCAGACACCGCCCAGGCTTAAATTTTATAATTCGAGAAGTACAGATCAGTCCCGCTTCACAGGAGAACCAGACACCGTATATGCTTTAACGCTACAATCTGAATAGTATAGCTCAATCCTATGGCGCAACCACACAGGTATCAAGCACCCTGGTGGATCATTCGCACCATTCACATGACATCTATAGTTATTCCGATCAATGGTCGCGTGAAGTACCATTACTTTGACTTATTCTCTATTCATCTTATTAATTTTATCTCACTATGTTAATATGTGTTAAGAAAGAGCAAATATATAACTCAGTAATTTTTAGTTATAATTTTCAGTTACTTAATATAATAATTGTGATCATGAGAAAATCAATGAAAACCTGGAAGCACTGGATGGTCGTTTCGTTCTAGTATAGAACTTCTCAGCAGTGCGCATCCACGATCCTGTATGCAGAACTCGAACCCTAAGATTCTTTATATTTTAAAATCAAAGAACTACATTATCTGTTTACAGATAAAGAGCATTCGTCTACTCAATGTATTATCATTGCCTTTGACTAATAATACTATACATTCTAAGCGTAATCCAATTAGCTACTTACGCCTGTTACGCCTCGTGGAGGGGCATAGGCCACCCACCAGGTAACCCTATTCTCAAGCCCTAATTCATATACCTCAATTGTAGTTAAAACTCCTAACCCTAATTCATCATCAATACATCTTATCTATCTATGGTTTTTATCTAATGAAATTGGTGTTACTTTCTTATGATTCGTTTAAGGATCACTGAATCTTATTACTATAATGTACTTTTACATTTTCAAACTTGCGTGTAAGCAAATGATTGAAACTAAATATTTGTCCTATCTATAATTCGATTTTTATCATAAGAATTATCATTATCATTACTTAGGATGTGATTCATCCGATTGTCTGGGTACGTCTTCAAAATTATCCACGTTGGCCAGCCAAAGTAATTGCACATGATGGTAACTTTCTTCTTGTCTCATTTTTTGGTGATTATGATGTGACTATTGCACCGATTGGTTCCGCTAAACTTCATTCATCTAGTCAATCAAAAAGTTTGTCAAAACTATCTACCATCACTATAGATTCTATAAATAATAATAATAATATTGACAAGGAAAGTAAATCTGATTGTAGTGGTACCAAATCCATTACTTCTATTGATAATAATGATATTTCTAATGAATCTAGTGTAACTTCTCAATCTTCCAAGACAATTTCATCATTATTACCTTCAACATTAACAACAACAACAACAACAATGGATCCTATGGTTAAAGAGAATTTTCATAAAGCTGTTGCAGAATTAAATTATCATCTAAATTTAATTTATCAACGTTATCCTAAATTTAAACTACCTATTAGTCAATTGAGATTTACTAAACGTCATGTTAAAAAATACTATGGGTAAGTAATTATGAAAGTACAATTTTATTATTGAATGTCTATAAATTTTCATTGTTATCATCGATCAGTCATAACTTGGAAAAGCCCAGATTGACTTGAGTGTACTATTATTTATTTATTTTAACACGTAGATATTGGTACAAGGGGACACCTAATACATAAGCGCCACAAAAATCTCATTTTATTTGTGTGAGGGTTATGATACTGCCTGGCTGCCCAAACCGACGCAGGTGGTTTTCTTAGGGGACCACACCCGGAGCCTTGAACTTGAAGGTCTGATCCACAAGGCAGTGGAGCATCGTGAGGAAATGCAGTCACATGGTAACCGGTGACCAACGATTGGTTCATACGCCATTTGTTTCTTCAGGATACTGGAGCCCATGTGCACCATTGATTTGGAATGACGGTTTTCCAACTTCCTTAGATGGACTCTCCATGTCCACCAACCCGGTTAAAGCGCCGGACATACGCTTTTCTTCCTCTCAATTTCGTAAACAACACCCTCGCCACGAGAAGGCAATGAGTAGGACTTCTCTGGCTGAGGCTATATAGGCGTGTCCATGTGTGAGCATTTGAAGAGGGAGAGAGGACTCTCCCCACTCTCGGTCGTACCAGGGTATTTGGGGGCTAACAAATCAGATAAGACTATATATTGGAAACTAGAGAAATGACTTGAATCTAAATTATCTAAGATCAGAATTCACAATGTTTGTGATCCATGTGATCGATCTATAACCAAATGATGTATTTATCACTATCATTCATATTTATGTGATCTGTACAATAAACTGATCAATCAAATATTATATATTTTTTGCGAAAATTAGTTACCCTATTGAAATGCTCATTGAATCTGTAGTAGTAGGTCTCAATATACACAAAACAAAAAGCAAGATTCTCATATCCAACATGGAGAAAAACCAATTCAATCACATTTGATGAAAAAGTTTTGAAAGAGGTGGGCACTTCCACGTACCTGGTCAACATCGTCCATGAACAAGGAGGATCCGATGTAGATGTAAAGGCAAGGATTGGAAAAACTTCGAGAACTACCACAACCATTATCAAAAAATCACATGTATCTATGAACAATTATTTAGACAAGGTACTCAATGTCAATTAGCCGGATACTATCAGCAATAGCCTATTATGAGAGAGAAAATACCAACATCCAACTGAAGATAAAATTAAGAGAAGACACTGGAACTAGATAGGGCATTCATTGACGAAATCATCAAACTGCATCACGAAACAAGCGCTAACTTGGAATCGTGAAGGGGAACAGAAAAGAGGAAGGTAGAAAAACAAACTACGTTGGGAATTGAAATCAGAATTCAAAAGGTTGGATGATAACTGGAAACGGTTGTTCAGGACGAAGTTCGATGGACAATGCTATTGGGGTAGCCTATGCTCTACTCATTGGTTCTCCCGGCGAGGGTGTTGTTTACAAAATTCATTGGATGAAAAGCCAGTGTTCGGCACTGTAGCCGAATTAATCGGTTCAGAGGACAAAGATATGGTACTAGATATAAAGGATTCAGCATATTATTTAGTGATTGTTGTTATCTGCCATATTTCTGTTATCCCAATATTAATATAGATTGCTTTCTTACGATAATTTACTGATTCATCGATTGTCTGTTAGTCAAGTTATCTTTTATTCAGATTTAATCTGTTAAGCAATGTGATTTAGATTGATATGACTTTAAGTTTACCTGAAGTATTTTCAATATAATTTAATTCGTTTATACTTTCTCACTTAATGTTGTCCACAATAATCACTCAGTTTGTGTTAGTTAGGGGCAGATAAACCAAAAAATGGCATCAGTCCTTGAAGTCACTAAATTCTAGTCTGAGCTATGTAGATAGATGAAGACGACTTGACTGGAGTCTGCGTGATTATCGTAACCAGTAATGGTTGGAGATTCTGGGTAACATGGCTCAGAATCGATCACAATGGCATAGGTGTATACACTCTTTGTCTTTCCTTAAACAATGAGATTAAAATTACTTTCTACCTTTCTTTTTACGAACTAGTTCTTTCTTCCTCTATCATATCCTTAGATGCAATCATTTTTTAAATATTACCATTGAAGTAACTACTTCTATGAATTTGCTGTTCATCTTGTTGTGTTCATGAGGTATGGCAACTTGGACCGATGCCTATATGTGCCTGGTCCTACATTGTAGATGACTGACTGTTAACCTGATTGTTGATAATTAATAATTTTCATTGGTGATGTAAACATTATTGAGTTTTCTTGAAGCGAAAAACAAATAAACATTTTCTATATATCAGAAGGGGTTTTGTGGAGGTTTTAGAAATTTCACTGATTGAAATCATGAGACAATTGAAGCTAGACCACCGTTGAAATCCTGGAAGCACTGGACGGCCGTTTCGTCCCAGTACGGGACTCCTCATCAGTGTGCATCTACGATCCCACCTCACGAGATTCGAACACCGGACCTATCGGTCTCACGCGCAAGCGCTTAACCACTAGACCACTGAGCTGGCTGGCATCCGATGGCGTTAATGTCTAACTTCAACTAATCCACGAAATTGAGCGCCACATCTACCGTTGTCATCAGTGAGTTATTATGTCACATCAGACCCGGTTGAACTTTACTGATCACTGTTTCTCACTAGAACTCCAGGATATACCTCTTGAAGCCAGTCATTAGTGAGCATATGTTGATTAGTATCAGAATGGGTTTTTGTGGATATTATAGTAATTTCAATAGTTGAGATCATATGTCAATTGAAGCTAGACTATCATGGATGCAAGTGTCACCCAGTGCTTCCAGGTTTTCCAGAAAAACCCCTTCTATTGATAATTTCATTGCCTAATTGTAAACCTAATCAATTACTATTTTTATTCTCATGTAATATTTCTCCGTTCAACTTGTATCGATATTATACTTTCCATTCTTTCTCTTTCTTTTTTTGGTCTGTTGATTAGAATTATGGACTATTGAACTGATTTATAGTTGTATTAGATGTTATTATATTAACCTTGAATCAGTCTGAATTTTATGGATAGTTAATGATTGCATAGAATCAACAATCTAGGCCATATTAAGAAAAACTCATAGTCTAAATAATATTTAATCTTATATGAATCTATTTACTTGAAAAAAATGTAATGTGTCAGATGACCTACATTGAAGAATTCTTAGAACTATTCGATCAAATAAACAGCACTGTCTCAATCAAACTGGCTTCATTTGTCTCCAATCTATATGATAAAGTTGTATCATCTTTTCCGACAACCAGAAACCTAAATTAACGTCTCCTTAGTACATTATGTTCACTGACTTCTCACGACGGAAGTGTTGTTTACGAAATTCAGAGGATACAAAAAGCGAATGTCTGGCACTTTAACCGGGTTAGTGAATATGGAGGATCCACCTAGAGAAGTTGGAAAACCGTGATTCCAAATCCATGGTGCACATGGGCTTCAGGATCCTGAAGGAACAAATAGTATATGGGATTGCATCTCCTCACGTTGCTCCATTACCTTGTGGATTAAATCTTTGATTCAAAGTCTCCGAGTGTAACCCTCTAGAAAAACCAATTGCTTCGGTCTGGTCACCCGGGCAGTATTATAGCTCATACACACAAATCAAATGACTTGTATCATGTATATGTACTTAGTACCTTATTGTACCAATGTTTATGTGTTTAAATAAATAAATATAGAAATCAACCAGACCAATATTATACTATAACATTTTCTTCATTATTCAATCGACTTAAGATCATGACATTTATGTATAATGTATGAATATGGATGATCCATCTAGGGGAGTTGAAGAACCTTGATCTCAAACCAATAGTTGCTTATGAATTTTTAGCATCCTGACAGAACAAAAGGTGTATGAACTTATTGTTGGTCACCGTTTACCATGGAATTACATCTCTTCACGTTACTCTACTGCCTTGTGGATTAGACCTTTAGGTTGAAGGCTCCACCTGCTTCAGTTTGGACACCCAGGCAGTGTCACAGCCCTCACACCTTACCCTTATTTTACCAATGTTTTATGTGTTTAAATAAATAAATATTACAAATCAACCAGACCAATATTCTACTATAACATTATCTTCATTATTCAATTGACTTAAGATCATGACATCTATGTATAATATTCACAATAAATCTTTTTATTTGTTTATCTATTTATCATTATTATATATGATGACCTTTTATTATTATTAGTTTTTTAGATTAGCTCATTAAATACCTGATTAATATTGTCTTATTGTTTTTCTTCTTTCATTACCACCACTACTACTACTATTCTTGTTCTTAAATTGTGATCATACCATGTATCTATGTATCTATCTATCTATTTAAATAAATAAATTTGTTACTATAGATTGGTATTGTTTAATTAATGCACTTACAATGTTAGTGTATGCAACTAACCTACCTTACCTACCTACCTAGCTTACCTGCCTACCTACCCACCTACCTAACTACTATTAACTGGTCATTAATTATAATTCTGATGAATAAAGTTCTTCAAAATGTATGATAAGTGAACAAGTGAGTGAGTGTGTGCATTTGTGTGTGTGTGTGTGAGAGAGAGAGAGAGAGAGAAAGAGATAGGTGTGGAACAATACTCTCGGTGAATTTGTGTTTTACTTGATTTAACAAGAAATTTGTTCAAAGTTCAATTATATATAAATTTTTTCAGATTACCTTTTTTTTCTACATGTGAAACTATAGAAAATTGAGTGTTATTCTTAGGTTAGACTAAAGAACAACTCAAATATATAGTAACTGTTATATATATATATATATATATATATATATATATATATATATATATATATATATATATATATATATAGGTGTGTGTGTGTGTGTACACATCTGTTTCTACCTTATTCTACTACTGTTATTGTTCACGGACCTTAGTAATTAACCATTGACCAAGTATAGATATATATATATATATTCTGTGAATTTATCATATTATTATTACTACCACTGCTA